AGCTTAAGTTAAATAATAATAAAAATAATATTGAGCAGCTGAGTGGTTTAAAGCTCGGTGGTTCTTTCGCGAGAACCCCCTTATGTGTCCAAGACAAACCAGGACCCCCCTACTCCTACAGGCATGCAGTTAAAAGTGAATAATTACAACCTTTCCATAGACATGCCTCTTACAGAGTTTTGATTGTATTATTGCATGTGTTATATTTACGTATATAATCTTGGTAACCTCATAACCTCAGCACACACAGAATTGTGCAGACCCCCTGCAACCTTATGGGACCCCCTCAGGGGGGGTCACAGACCCCAGATTGGGAACCACTGATCTAGCTAAGAAATACTTATTATTTTGCATTTAAAACACATAATAAACGAGTTCTGGAGTTCTTTAACAGATTTGAATTCTAAAAAAGACAAACAAAATGGAAACGTTCCTGTTTGACTCATCTGGGTTAAAATGTGCAGGAACCCATGCTGCGGAGCCCCGGACCCAGGTCTTACCGCTGGTAGTCGCTCCTACAGTACAGCTTGGTGTCCTTGCAGTAGCATGACGCGGTGAGCGGTCGGTAGCACGCGGCGCACTGCAGACACTCCTCGTGCCAGGACGCACCGTCGACCCGCATGATGAAGCGGTCGGAGATGATCCGCTGGCAGCCCTCACAGACGGTCTGAGGAGGAGACGCACCTGAGACAGGAGGGACAAGGAGGACACATATATGGGTCTATAAGTTATTTAATGTAAAATGTGTGCGACTTTCTGTAATTTTATACAAAACATAAATTAATAGTCATTACATGTTTGTTTGTCTTTAAAGAAAATAATTTTAGTCGTTTTATTATAAAAGCAGACGTAAAAAAATGATCCTGATCCAGAGGAATCCTGATCAGACAAATCCCGACTGAAACAGATTTGTGTTCCTTTTTTTATTGTAATTAAATAAATAAAAAAACTGTCGTTAAATGTAAAATCTGATTAAAGAAACGTGCTCTTGGTCATTTCATCTGATGATGACGTCATGTAAATAAAATAAGAAAAAAGAGGGAAATAGGTACATCCTTTTAACAAAACAAGCAATCTCTAAACAAAATATATAAACACCTGCAACAAACAGAGCAAATACCAGATGTCACTTAACTTAACTATATTAATAATAATAATAATAATAATAATAATAATAATAATAATAATAATAATAATAATAATAATTATTATTATTATTATTATTATTATTATTACTATTATTACTATTATCATTGTTATTATTATTATTACCATTGTTATCAGGCGGTTTTATCTGATAATCTGACTATTCGGGTTTTGCCTGATTGGACTACACTATAGCTGAAAAAGAATCAGAAAACTCAACCCACCGGTCAGAACCTGTAGAGCCTCCGTATCAGCGCGCACTCGGTCCTCCGTTTTAATGTCATTCAGCATCTTCCTCCGAACAGGTACCGACCGGTGGACACTTACGGTGATAAACGTCGGGATTTCGGTCAGTTCCGGTCTTTCACCTAAAGTCTGAGAGCTGCTGCGAGAGAACAAACCAAACCCTGAAATCGGGCAGTGCGCTCCAAAGATCCAGAGGTTCGGACTGATCCAGCTGTGGAGAGCCTGTGGTTCTCTCTCCAGACGCAGACTGGTCCAACAGAAACCCTTCCCTGTTCCCTGTCCCGTCTCCTGGTCTCCGCAGCGTTTCTCCACCGCTGTGAGCTCCGCTGGATCCGCCTCCGGCCCCGTCCGAGAGCTGAATGAAGGCCTGAATCAGAGAAGATCCAGATCCACTCAGGGAGGGTCTGCGGCTACAGCAAAGACCTAAAAACCAGACCCGGTTTTATTAGGTTACCCTCACGTGCAAGTCGGTTCAGTTACCAAAAAGAACCAGAAGATCCAGCTGACCCGAGGGGAGGCCCAGTTAAAAATATTCAACATATAAAAATAAAATCAGTTTATCAATTAATAATAACTGATATAAACAGCAATGAAATAACAAAGCCATGGAAATATAAATAAACACAAATGGCAGTTGTAAAAAATAAACACATTAATTAAATGATGTAATTAAAATGATAAACACGAAATAAATACATTTAACTGCACAATTATAAAATAAATGTTTACTATAAAAACATAATTGAAAAAAAAACTAGGCACAAAAATATAAGAAAACACATAAAACACATTTCTACAAAGTACAACTGATCGATTAGATCGTTTATTATTACAAAATAAGTAAACTCAAAATAAATAACTCAGTTATTTAAAAGCAAATAGACTTAATGCTATTTATACAAGACAAATACATTCTGAAAAGTAATTAAAACTAATTGATTCGTTTATTTATCAATTCAATAGAAAAACATACAGAAATGCACAAATACATAGGCCTATAAACTACAGAGCCTCAGAAACAACAAAATATGAAACCAAAACCAGCTTCGTGGCTCCAGAAAAGACTAATAGGCCCACGGTAATTCACATGCATCAGGGAATGAAAACGACTCGAATTCAGTTTATTAAATAAATATTTTTCCGGTACCGTTAATCTCAACATCAAATATGTGCTTTTACACATGTTCGGTCACAAGCTGAATTGTGCAGTAATGTAAATGAATTATTATTATTATTATTATTATTATTATTATTATATTACTCTATTATTATTATTATTGTTATTGTTATTATTATTATTATTATTATTATTATTATTATTATTATGTCCCTTTGATGAACTGGTGACCTGCAGGTGTAAAGCGCTCTTTTCTTGACTGCTGCAGGGGGGTTGATCCAGAGAAAATATGTAAAACATTTTTGGTTTAAAACAGCAAACAAGCTCTGAAACTAATATCTGAACACCTGCTGAGAATCTCAGGTGGCATGTGCCATGATTCATCACACGTGTCTAGATGATTAAATAGGTGAATACAGGAACACACACATGGTCATTGTTTATAATAATACAGCTTGATCCATCGGGTCACGTGTTGCTTGTTATAATGCAACACATGACGTAAAAGTACATACAGGACGTGGTACGGGTGGGGTGGGGATGTGTGCACATAAGTGTGAGTTGAGCCCAGCTGGTAGAGTGAGTGTGTGTGTGTGTGTGTGTGTGTGTGTGTGTGTGTGTGTGTGTGTGTGTGTGTGTGTGTGTGTTTGAGATAGAAAAGGGGGTGATGAAAAACAAGAATAGCACCATAAAGTAGGGCCGATTCCACATGGAGGTCAGGGTCCAGATAAAGATATAATACATCAAATTTACTTTTATGGATATTTGACTGTTTGATGACTGAGATGCTGATGATGCAGCAGCCTCGGGTTTATTTGATGGAACAGGAGAGGCCCAGTCTTCACTGACTGGCTCATTCTGTTAATCTGGTTTTCCAGTTCGGCTCTGATCTCTTTGGTCATCGGGTGTCAGCATTTTGCTTCTCATCATGCTGTGATTTCTTCTTCATACATAAACAAAACACACGAGAGCTGACATGTGGCAGTTACATAGAGATTCTCATGGATCCAGTGCGTTCAGATGAAACTGTGACCACGCCGTGACATCAGCTGATCCTGATAGAACTCTGACACCAGCAGGCATAACCAACATCTGCTGAGTCAACACAAGATTTTTAGTTTGACCTTCATTCTGTTCAGTGTATGCGGAACAAGATTCTCCAATTTTGGATAGCAAGAGGAGACAAACGCTGTGCTTTCATCAGCTGTTCCATACAGGTTCTAGTGAACATGTTGGCCCTTTGCTTTATGGGAATATGGAACAGAAACATGTACAATTATTTTTTGAATTAAAATCAGAAATGAGTGTTTGACAGGACACAGAACAGTCAGAGAATTTGAAATGGGTTATTCTACATAGTTTTTATTTATTCAGACATTCTCATGCAGCGATGTTTGAAATCAGCATCTGAAATCCATGCAATCTGCATAAATGGCATAATAAACTGAACTCAATTGGAATGTTTACTTTGTGAAGTGCCTTGAGACAACACTTGTCATGATTTGGAACTATAAAAATTAACATATCTAGTTTAGATCTATTTGTTTATTCTGTTAGGATGAGTAATGCAGTTCTTCTATCACATTGATGTTTTGCTCTTCTCTTTCTCTTTGTGACCTGCTGAGTTTTTTTAATGGCGTTCAGTAGATAAAAGGTGAGATCTGCAGCAAGCAGAGGGGAGAGGTGAAGGTCTGGTTGGCCGTAGACAACACAAAGATGTCTTATAGATGCTCATCACGTGGTCGCTGACTGGAGGACTGTCGGTGTCATGCCTCATGATTGAACCTTTTGTAGAAACCTCACATATGATTAAATAAAAACAAAGATTGATTCAGAAGCATTATCTTTCACCTTCAACAGCAGGTCCCCAAGCAAACAGGTGTAAAGCCTCCAGCAAGGGCGGAAATCCCATTTCAATTTTGGAGGGGACAATAAACTGTAAAACTTCAGAGAGTAATTTTTTGGGGGGGGGACATGAAAAAAAAATGCTCTCTACATACAACACTGTATGTCCTTATTAGAGACTGACCTGTGACTCTGTGCCTGTGTCTGACAGGCTCTAGCTGCCTGTGCTCAAGTGACTGGACTTTGCCAAATGAAACCATTTAGAAACAATTTCATAGGCATTTCATTTCCTTCTTATAGATGTCTTTATCAAAATGCAAGTTTCTACTTACTTGACGTTTTGGAGCATTAAAAAACGACCTGATGTTTGCTGTTTTTCATTTCTCTGCCATTTCAACTGACCTGGTCTGCTGACAGTTGGACAGCAACACACACACAGATGGGATATTGTCATTAGAACGGAGCTGGAGGATATTGATCAACAATAATATCTTGCCTATTTTATACATCTCCATAAGCATCCTTTCTTTTTGTTTTCATTTCAATAACAAGACTGTGGCCTAAAACGGAATTCAGAATAAAGATTTAAAAGTAGATCGTTAATAGTTGAAGCAACATGTCCTGAAATGACATGGCTACTGCTGGAAACCGCTGGCTTTTTGATTCCTGCTTCCTGTGAGCCTGCGGGCTGCTGTGAAGCTGTGAGCGGGGCAAAGCCAGCAGCCCCGCCCGTTGGAAACAGCGCGTGTGGACCGACCGTACCAACTTGAAGAATTGGGGTGGGGGGTGGGGGGGTGGGGGGGGGCTATAATTTCTCAACAATTAAAAACACATTGTTTTGTATTTGCAGACTAACTTTTACGTTGTGGTTTTAGAAGACAATACAGGTTTACTGATAGCATTTATGTGTTTACAATAACTTTTGTGTGTGTGGGGGGGGGGGGGGGGGGGACTTTGTGTGAGGGGGGGACGTGTCCCCCCCGTCCCCTCGGGATCTCCGCCTATGGCCTCCAGTGTTTTCTCTCTGGGGACAAACAACCAAAGCTTGAAGAGGATTTCTAATTTAAATTCAAACAAGAGGTTGTTTCTTGGACTGGAGCTCCTTAAGGACAAACTGTGGTTATTCACTTTCTCTGGATGCCATTAAGTTGACCTCCAGTACTAATTTGAAGAATTCTAGACCAGGATCTGTCCTTTTAACTTAGGACAGCCTTCTCCCATCTGGGTAATAGTACTAATTAAAACTAGGAACATTTAAATGAAGGCGAAGTTCAGAGCTTTGTAAAGTGAAAAGATGCCGTTTTCATTCACCACCAAAGGAGAACAAAGCACAAGGAAACACTTGTTTCAGTCTCTGATGATTCCCTGGTTCTGGTGCCAGTCGGTTCAGAACCAGTCTAGCTGTGATGGTTTGATCTTTGTAACCATCAGGTCCTGTTCACCCAGTATATGTGATGAAACACGGGTTTACAGACAGATAAAACAAATTCAAAGCTGTGTGTAAAGTTTTTATCAAACGTGACCCACACACCGACCGTCGCCGTTTGTGTTAACTAAACAAGCTGCTTTAATGAAGGAAAGCTGTAAAGAGGGTTTTCTGAGGAAAGCAGCAGCAGCTCATGTTTATGATGTTGTCTGTGTGAAGTTTTATGAGCCGAGTTAACCACAGCAGCTCTCTGGGTGGCTGGGTGCAGCACATGGTTCAGCACCAGCCAGGACGCCGGACCGGGACACCTTATCGTCTGACCTGGAGAAAACTCTGTTGAAACCATGGAACTGATCAGGAACGGAGCAGACTTTAGCTCAGGAAGCAGCAAATGTACTAAAGACAAGTCTTAGGTGCCAAACTCAAACCCTCTGGGCTAACAGGCCATTTTAAATCTAGTTCACTTCACTTAGGAAGTACCGTTTCCACCCAAAGCAGACTCAGCCCTTCAGGAGGAAGGTTTAATCTTGCAGAAAAGCATTGATAAGACACAAAGTTCAGAATTTTATCTAACAGCTTAAAGTAGCACGTCATCATCAGACAGGTCCAAAGTGTCCCTCAGATAGACGAGCGTTACAGGACGGTGTCCCTGACCCTGGGAGTTGTTTCTTCCTGCAGCTGATCAAGATTTCTTTTAACGGATGTTTGAAAATTATCATATAACAAATTTAATGTAAATTTTTTGTGTCAAATAATGTTTTTCTTATCATTTATTTTAACTGTTGGGCTGAGTGGCAGAAGCGGAACCCAGGCAGGTTCTGCTGTCCGTTTGTGTTCACAGCTCTGCATCAGTGGAGTCTGGAGAGTTCAGAGGTCAGAACGTTCATGTACAGGTGTTCCAGTAACAAAAGGGGAAGCATGACAGACCTTCAGGACATCTAGAGAAGTGGTGACCTAGAACCAGTGTCACAGAACCATCTGGCTGCTGGAAGGAATGATTCATAAAAAAAAGGTGGATAGTTATCCAGACTCTGGTATTTTAATGACAGAACCACCTTAATACGGTTCAGTTCACCACAGTTTATTAAAACCTAGAATACAAATAACACTAAAGCTGATTTGTTCACACCTGGAGAATAAAATCTGCTTACAAACCAACATCAGACTTTTGTTCTTTTGCCAAGAAAAATAATAACGTTAAGCTCCGTCACGTTGTGTCACCATGCAAACAACCTTATCAAACACATTAGTCAGTTTTTTGTTAGTCCGTTTCAAATGTTTGACCCAACCAGCTAAGAAATGTTCGACGAACAGTGGAACAGAGTTCACGCCCGTCGGCAGTGCACTGGACGTTTGACATGGTACATGTGAAACAAAAACAGTCACAATACGGAAAATGATTAATAAATTAAGACAAAAACTGCTCATCCAAATGTTACGGACTGGAAAATACTGAACATCATCATTATTTTGATTGTAACAGTCATATGAGACAATGTGGGTGCTGAAAGCAACTGATTTCTATCAATCTATGCTCTAATCAGCAATCTGATCTGAGATCTGCTGTCCAAACAAACTCATGTTGGAACTTTCACTACAACAGTCGTGTCCACTTTGTTCAACCCTCTAAAGGTCACCAGGCTCAAGCTGCAGGGCAGGGCTGATGGGTTTAAGTGGAAGAGAGAGATTGTAGCAGGCTGGTCCTTCTGACCCTAACCCAGCCTCCACACCAGCCAACAACCACACAGCTCTCCTCATCACCATCATGGGACACCAGAGAGAATCACTGAGGCTCTGTACTCAACACCTTTCTTGAAAAACATGAACTCAAAATATTCTTTATAAAAACCATCAGAAGACACAGGGCTGAACCACGAAACAGTGAAGCAGTTCCTGTTAAGAGCAGCAGCGATGAGAGTAAATGGACTGGTACAAAAACAAGGCTTTCATGCTGCTTCTGCACACTTCACCATTATTAGAACAACATGAGTGCAATAACACTCTGAACGTGGAAAAACATGAGTACATCTAGGACTTGCATGGTGCCTGTGATGTGGTGCATTAGTGGTTTATTAGAAGGAACTAGCAGCTGGTCACCTGCATCGGACTCTTAAAGAGAACGATAAAGTCCCACATTAGAAGTCAGCTCTGTTTTTTATATGTCACACTAAGTCTGATCAGTGTTTCAGACTGGTAAAACAGACTGATGACAACAAGGAACAGTTCTGCTTATGTGACCCTTCAACTCAAGTTCAGAGGGTCTGAGAGCTATTTCTGAGAAATGTTGCTAATAAATATATTTACTATGAAAACTGGCTTTTAAAAAGTTCTAAAGTCAAATGTGGTTCCATCCCTAGAAGCTCGGACACCGTAGCTCTTAATGTGCCAGATGAGGGCTAAAGCTAAACCTCGAGCTCAGTATTTCTACCATCTGAGGTTTTCTAAACGTAACGCAGTGACCAACCTTTTGATGCTAATGCCTGGCCCTGTGGGTAAATGCTACCAAAGCAGTAAACATCTATGTTTGGGTTCAGCATCTGTAGCAGTGGCTCATTTACAAAACACAGGATGTATATCTGAGACAAACAGAACACACACTTAGTCCAGAATAACACGGTAACATGAAGAGAACAGATCCAACTCCATCAGGAACACCTAAACAGCTGACCCCTGACCTCCTGGAGCCAGATCCTGGCAGCAGAAAGGCCAGACAGATGTTCTTCACTACAGGAACTCTTGTATCCTTTATCTTGTTTGTAAGACGTTCCTCTTGATGAGAAGTTAATTGTATCACAAAGAACCCTCTGAGGCTCTGAAAAGAAAAACAAGAATTTCCACACAAAAAGCAGGTCCTCTTTTCTACATCAGATCCAGCTCCTTTAGAAGACAATGTGTGTATGTGTGTGTGTACAGTGAGGTTTTTATGTTTTAACAGAGACCAGATGATCTCCAGGAGACCAACAGAAGCTCCACTTTAATCAGGCTCTTTATTCCTCTTCAGGGCAGCTGACTAGAGAAGTTCAGGACAGGTTCTCAGTCGTGGTGTCCAAGTGTCTCTTGCTGGTGTCCAATCCTTTAAGGAGAAGCAGATCAGGCCTCGGAGCTCAGGGAGGTCCGTGTTGGACTAGGAGGGAGGCGAGCTGCTGCACTGTGCTCCGTACGGAAACTGTAATCATACTGACAGGGAAAACACCGGTCAGTACAAACCGGCCTGAAGCTCTCAGAAACATTAAAGCAATGCTGCCCTCTGGTGCACTCAATGTGCAACTGCACAAACCCTTTATTTTTAGGAGACCAAAAGAAGATGTGAACTCATAATGAGACCACATTGACCCAAACTACTCCTAAGACCCACAGAATCACTGCTAGTCCTTGTAGACTTGTAAACGTTTGGGTTGGTTACCGTGTGGTCAGAGGTGACATCACTAGTGGTGTTGCAAGGTTGTCATGGGGCCCCAAGCAAAAAGTGTTGTTCTCCGGCGCAGACTAGTAAGTGTGCTGCCGTTTCTCCGTTCGAGTCTTGGTGTTGTCTAGTTCCGAGTGTGGGTTCTTGTTAGCAACCGATTCACTGATGGAGAATCTCTGAGCAGGTTGGGGGTGTAAAGGGGAGGAAATGTGTGGCAGAGCAGTCAGGAAGGAGGAGAGACCCCATCAGGGAGCGCAAGACAGCCAACAGGACTGTCAAATGACAGCTTTTCACTGTCCCACCGCTGTTGTGATTCTGCCTTCAAAGCTGCTCAGCCCTCTGAGACCCCAAGCTGTTGCCTGCCAGAAAGGAGCATCCCTGAATATCACTAAACCCACTCTAACGAGGATATGATTAACACACTGACAAAGCAGACATTTACACCCCCTCACCACCACCATGCAGAGCTGCTGGGCAGGACATTTGTGGAAACCTTCTTCTTTCTCACCTCTTTCTCGATCTCAGCCAGAGACTTGATTGTGATGCCCATCAGGTCCACCTGCTGCAGCTGCAGAAAGCAGACACAGCTGGTTAGTTCACATAATGACAGATAAAACCTTGTTGTCTGTGCCCAAAGATCACGGAAACTTCCCTTTTGACATGGCTCATAAAACAAATTAATACAAACAGACCATAAAAACAATATACAAACCTACTTCACACTGTTCAGAACAGATACGGCTGAGGGCACAGATGTAATCATAAATATTATAGACTAAATTAACTCATGCATCTACAGCCCAACACTCCCATTTAGTTTATGTGTAACTAGATAATCAGGTCACCCACTTCCACCAGGACTAAACTTAACCGGACATCAGGAGGACAAACAACTTACATCAGAAGAGGCACAGGCAAACTTGTCAGAAATCATGAAAGGCACTCCGTCCATAGCTGAAAGAGAGTTCAGAGGTCAGAACCTGAGCCTAAAGCAGCTACCATACATTAGAGAGACAGCTCAGACATTTCTGTGGACAGATTACAACATAAGAGGCAGTAACTCCCTTTTAAAATGAGCTAATCTCCGTTTCTCCGACTTACTCGTTTCACACTGTAAGCATCAAGCGGTGCGGAATGACGGCAGAACATTTTACTCGCAAGCTTCAATGCTGTCCACTCCCCCTGGGAGTCTTGGCCATGGAACGGCTTTGTGCTCCCAGCTTGACTCGCAAGACCACAAGATTCCTCGAGACTTCAAAGGTCATGGTTTGTTTATGCAATCCGCCATTAAACCAAAAAGAAGAAAATCCTGTATGATATCACTGTTTGATGCCATGTAGGATGTTGTTCCTCTCCACTGGCAGGATTAAAGCCATGAAAAACACACCGCTGCACGTCTGGAACGATGCTGGATGTAAATAAACCATTGGGTCTCACGTAAGCTTCATATGTATGAAATTGCATTGCTGCAGTACTTTTATTTAGAAAATTACTGGGTTGTTACACTGAACCCGTGTGTGATTTCCTGTTTAGCCCACTGCTAACTGTGCACATTGACATGTCCCAGAAGCGGCTCGTGGCAAAAATAGAACATGATGCTATATTTAGTGGTGCGGCGTGCTGCTTCTGGGACGCACCTGAAAACTGACGCGTCGCGGCTGGTTTGAAACACCCCTGTGGACTATAATGGATTCTATTTGAAGCAGAGATGTTCCGCGCCGCTGATGCTTTCAGTGTGAAACTGGGGTTAAGGCTGTTCATAGAGCTATCTATATTGTAGCTCATCACCACTCGTGTGTGCATGGGTGAATGACAGTAGTGCTGTAAAGCGCCTTGGGGGGTTGTATAACACTAGTGGATGCTATATCAAATACAGGCCATTTAAAGGTGCAGTATGTAAGAATATAGTGAGAATTTTACAGTGAGAAAATCCCAAAATAGTCTAATGTTTCATACTGAAACATATCTCATATCCAGCTGGCTGTAGGGATTGTCAGTTTTTCTCCGTTTAAAACAAAAGGAGGAGGAACGTAACTGCTGTTTACCATCAGTGAGTGTGGTGGTGCCGTGTCTCCTGCAAGCTAACACTGCAGCGTCGACAAATGTAATTTGACGGCGGCTGGCAAAAAGCTCCAGAGTTGTTTAAAGTGGTTGCAGGAACCAGATTATACCACAGGATATCATTTTTACTTCATTTCTACATAATGCACATTTAAAAAATGTAGAATGAAGTATAAAAATCTTGACTTCTTTTAACACAGTGAGACATTTGGGGTACAAATATATAAAAATTAAACCATTTCTGACCTGAGATAGCATAAAGGTTAGAGTTCTGGTGCTCATAGTCTGGTCTGGTGGTGTTCTTCCCTCTGAAGCTGGCAGGAAGGGTCATGGAAATGTGTCTTGTAAGAAAAACAAAATGATGCTGCATTTAGACAACAACGACAACAGCAGCAGAGTTCAAGAGACAAGTGTGCAGCCTTCCAGCACACAGCTGAGGTCTGTAATGACACCTGCATTCCAGCGGGGGAACATTTCCTATCCTCCCTCAATAAATTCACACTATATGGATCTCCTTGGAGAAATAATGTCTTTGCATGAGACCCATTCATAAGGAGCTGCTGTTTGTACGGTACCCAACGGTTTTTGAGGTTCCGTATTTTTCTGCCTTCCCTGCTGAACTAGAGCCGCCCCAACCAGGTCTAGTGGTTCCTCATCTGCCCTCCCCTTCTGGAGGAAATACGTTTTTCCCCAGAGTTTTATTCATCTCCATCACTACAACTCCCAGAAGTGTTTTAGCTTTTAGCTCTGACAGAACACAGTAACAGAACAGAGCAACATTAAAACACTTGCTGGGAACTATCTTCTCATAATAAAAAACAAAACATGGTGCTCACAATAAAAACATCATAAGGGCATTTCCTCAAATTTCTCAACAATAACATTGATTTTTAAAGGGTATTTGACTCAAAAGTAGGGCTGCAGCAATTGAATATTTCAGTATTTCAATATTCTATTGAATCCTCTGTCGATTAATCGAATATTCTATTTGACAACGTTTCAAGTGAAACGAGACAGAGGTCTGCTGCTAAAAATAGGAAAATAAAACGATAAAAAGCTCAATAACATGTATTAAATTGACGTTGTCTGGTTTCCTCTTTCCCAACTGATATTTTTAGTTAATAAATATTTTACGAAACACAATTAGACTTATATTTCATTAACATTTTTTGTTTTTATACATCAGTCATCCTAGTCAAATATCTAAATATGCCCACAGTAGAATTTACTACATGTTCAGTAATAAGTTACTGGAAATGCTAATAACATGTCATTTCTACTGGTAACAATGTAATGGTGGCATATCTATTGTATTATGTACAGGTTGGCAACATAATCCAGTCTAAATTGTATAAAAATATAGAAGCGTTTGTGAATTACAGTGGGGCAAAAAAGTATTTAGTCAGCCACCGATTGTGCAAGTTCTCCCACTTAAAATGATGACAGAGGTCAGTAATTTACATCATAGGTACACTTCAACTGTGAGAGACAGAATGTGAAAGAAAATCCATGAATTCACATGGCAGGATTTTTAAAGAATTTATTTGTAAATCAGGGTGGAAAATAAGTATTTGGTCACTTCAAACAAGGAAAATCTCTGGCTCTCACAGACCTGTAACGTCTTCTTTGAGAAGCTTTTCTGTCCTCCACTCGTTACCTGTATTAATGGCACCTGTTTGAACTCATTATCTGTATAAAAGACACCTGTCCACAGCCTCAAACAGTCAGACTCCAAACTCCACTATGGCCAAGACCAAAGAGCTTTCGAAGGACACCAGGAAAAGAATTGTAGACCTGCATCAGACTGGGAAGAATGAATCTACAATAGGCAAGCAGCTTGGTGTGAAAAAATCAATTGTGGGAGCAATTATCAGAAATGGAAGACATACAAGACCACTGATAATCTCCTCGATCTGGGGCTCCACGCAAGATCTCATCCCGTGTATTTTGCATTTTCTGGGATGTGTTTATTTCATTAAATGTGAAGTCTTTGGCCAGTGTCTAGTCAACCATTTTTAAGAACATTCCTGCAGAGAAATCATCACCACTGGAGTTTTCCACACTGCCACCACCAAGTGGCAGTTCATTTACTGCTAGGAACTGAACTACTTCTCCTATTGTTTTTACATAGTATCTGTTTTTCTAGATTTGTGTGGGACTTTTTAAATTACCTACTGTTTACCCTGCGGCCACTCTTTGGGACATCTCAGACCAGGCTTTTTCATGTGGCATTGACTTGATGCATGCTTTGTGAATCCCTTATCCTTTTCCAGTGCTGTTTTCCAATTATTAAATCCTTGTTTTGTGAAAGCCAAATCCCTATCATTGTCCCCCCAAATTTGCAACATGGGAAACAAAAGCACGCATCCGGCTTTACTGAATATTCCAACCATCGTCTCCCACGATACTAGGTAGGGCAAAATGAGCGCATGTTCGTCCCAAAATGGCGCTTGGGGAAAACAAGAGTGGTCGGTTGGGACGATGTGCTACTGTTCAGGCCTGTGTCACCCACAGCGACGGCTGGGTTGATAGCGACGGGGACAGCAGGAGGGGCTGCAGTGCTTGTGCAACTGGTTGTGGTGAGTTGAGAAGCAGCAGCCGACGAGCCGGCTTCTGCCGCTAGTGGCTTAGCACTGTTGCTCGGTTTAGAAACCAGAAACCTGCGCATTGTCGACCCGGTTCACTCCAAAAACAATTTAAAGAAGAGAACGAGGCAAACTAAAACCTTGAGAAAGAGTACCAAATAACCCCAGTGACCGACAGAAGAAGAAAACTTCAACCAGTGGCTGAGCTCAGATAACGACGGTTCGTCTCTGTGTTCTTCTGCTGTCTGAGGCATGTGAAGCGAGTGAGACATAGAGAACAAAGTGCAGTGGCTGGCCACACCCTCCCTATGCATCTACCAATCAGCAGCTACTTTGAGTGAGGGGGGGAGAGAGAGAGAGAGAGAGAGAGAGAGAGAGAGAGAGAGAGAGAGAGAGAGAGAGAGAGAGAGAGAGAGAGAGAGAGAGGACTCTGACCCTTGAGTGTGTTCAAATCCACGGGAAGGATGCTTGTAGAGTGCATTTTGAGGTCGATGACGTCACAGCGCAGCGACGAGTACTGTCCGAATTCCAAGAATACTCATTCTCGTGTCCTCAAATGCGTCCTCGCTTTGCCCACCTTTCAAGGACAGGTCTGTTGTATCCCCACAGAACAAGGCTATCCCAGCATGCTTTGCGTGCCAGCTGTGGATTTTCAACAGGAAGAGAAAATGGGGAGAGCTACAAAGTTTTTAACGTAAGTTTGTTAAAAGCTAGCCGTAGAAACCTAAAAAGCTTAGAGCGGTTCAGTTTATAGACATTTTTCGTTTGTATGTTTGTTTTTTAAATTACATTTTAGGCAGAAATCAGCCAGAACGTGTTTGTTTCGCGGGTCCCAGTTATTCCCGTGTGTGTGTTTGTGTAGCGAATTAAACTTGTCATTTGTTGTAAGGACAACAGCGCAAAGAAGCGTTTTTATTAAGCTTAGAGGTGAAGAGTGACCACAGAAGTTCTTCTGTGCTCTGTTGTGAAAGGTAGTTTTACATTCAGGGATTTACACAGCTGACATGTTTTAATGAACAAGTACATTTCACCAGTTCATTCAGTAGCTTAAAACATGCATGAAACCATCTCAAGTTAACATGTAAGTCCTGAAAGCTTCTAGAATAAACAAAGTTACTTTACCTGAAAACGGCTGTGAACAAACGCTGCTGATGGACATGAAGCTGCTGTGGCTCCTTAATATTCCTGCTCGATTTTCGCTAGCTTTAGCATTTTTCCTTTGCGTGTAGCTGCCGCCACGGCTGTGACGGGACCTACGGACCACCGTAGAGATGAAGGCTAGACTGTCCGAATTCAGAGCCGCTGGGTTCCGGTTTTAGCGGTCTTAAAGGACCCGGCCTTGCTAGACCGGCGAGGACCCGTACTCATAAGCATCCTACCCGTGGATTCGGACACACCCCGTTTTTCATCAGATCTTTTCAAAATTGAGATTTCTACATGTCATCGCGTTTGGGGGGGCAGTCACTATTTTTAGGGGGGCATTGCCCCTCCTTGCCCATGCCTACATCCAGGCCCGTTTGTGTCTTTGCCTGTTTCTCTATTTTCCTCCACAGCACCCAGATCAGCACGTTGTCTCCCAGTAAAATATGTTCAGACAATGAAACAAGCAATTTAATTAATCAAACCATTCGATGATTCGTTTCAGCCCTACTCATAAGTACAATCCCGATAAAATTGTGAAGAATTTTTTGGTCTACTCTTCAAACAGACATTTGAATTAATTTGACATTTTTAGGTTTAGGCAGCAAATGAATACTGCTCATCTTTGTTTTCCCCCGTATTGTTGGGATCTAAACCAGCTTCATTTGGATTTCGTACATGTGAGAGAAAACCAGACAATGGGCATCTTTTGATTTAGGACTTTTAGATGTGTGTGTGTGTGTGTGTGTGTGTGTGTGTGTGTGTGTGTGTGTGTGTGTGTGTGTGTGTGTGTGTGTGTGTGCGAGCGTGTGTGTGTGTGTGTGTGTGCGTGTAAACTCGTTCCCAGAGTGGGCATACTTGGGCATTGGAGCTGCTGGGACTGGGGCTAGGACTGTGGAGGAGTTAATGTTCTGGGTGTTGTTGGCGGTGGTTGGAGTCTGCACCGAGTCCTGAGCACGAAGCACATTCCCCATGCGATACCAGATTCCCATGTTGTTGAGCTCTCTGTAAAACGGTAAAGACGAAAAAAATTAGGAAAAAGAATGAAAACATTTAAAGCTTAAGGATGCATGTTGTGTTTTATACTCATCAACAATTTATTCTAAATGAATGTGATGAGAAATCATAAATGGTTATGATACTGTTGGGACCACCACCACAAGAAGCTTGTGTTTGTAATTCAACCAGTCTGGAACACCGCCACCCCAGAGCTTCAGCCTACAACCCGAGAGCTGCTGTGGGCCTGCTTGAGCCACGAATATACCTTCAGCTCCACCCAGGGAGAGAATAACATACTTCATCTACTGCTGGTTAAACATCCACAATCCAACATGCAGAACATTGAGCAACAACAGTCAAATATGTCCGCCTACACCTGTCCTACTCATTTGTACTTTTTAACATGGTTTAAGTATTTTTCTTAACCCTGCTGCTAAACAGGAGCTGCTACACTGTTCCATTGTTCTTGTGATAATGGCAAAGATTTACATCTCTTCCCGTCCCATCCCATTCTTTCTTACTGCCCTTTGCTTTCCACGCACGAGGAACGCCTTTACAGAGGCCAAATGCTCTGAGAGGCTCAGAAGAGGCCCACTGATGTCAGATAATTCTGTAACAGGAGACAATGGCTATCACAAGAGTACTGACTGTAATAAGTGGAAGGGTCCAGGTGTGACCTGGTGGTATTTGTCAGGCACAAAGGAACCTAAGGGTAGACCAGTGGAGACTAAGGAAAGTGAATGATCTAGAGAAAACTGGAAAAGCAGCAGGAGTCAATGAGGAGCAATATGATTCTGAAAGTGAGAGATTAAATTAAACCAGGAAAAAATTATTATAATGCTTAGTGCAAATCTATTTTAATCACATGTGAACTGTAGCGCTGAACTTGTTACGCTGCTGTTTGATTTGAGGCTTCTTACCCTATGAAGGTGTACTGAGGAGGTGCCTGCTTGGAGCGACCCAGGATACGAATGTCACAGATGGCGGCTTCTGTCGAGTCCCTCGGAATAAACTTGATGCAGAGCCGCCTCTTCCTGAAGGCCTGCTCTTCTGTAGGAGACAACAAACCAGCTTTCTCCTTAGACAATGATTGGATACAACAAAGTTGCTCTAAATATTAGATGGTTAAATATTAGATGAACATATTTGCCCTCAGAGCAGTGCCTGTAGTGTTTGACGGGAACCAGTCACTTACGAGTGTCAACCGTTTCCTGGATTGGGATGAACCCCACTGGCAAAGTGTCCTTTATATCGATCAGCTTCATGTCCACAAGGACGTTGCCTAAATGGCTCTGGAAAGAACAGGTCAGAGGTGAAAGGAAATTCAGTAATAACCACAGTCGAAGGAAAACAGAGAGTCATTTAAATCTATGGGAACACCAATATTATTGTTGTGTTAGTATGTGACTCACATTTTCTTTGGAGAAAACTCTGGTGAAGCAAAGGTAACGAGTCACTTTGGACTTGAAAAGGCCATCCTTCCACAGGTCAGCATCCAGGCCGTCTGTTGTAGTAGAAATCTACAGAAAGAGGATTCAGGAGTCACTGAGCTGCCTAAACCGAGCACAAGTTGTGTTTTATGTCAGCAAAAAGGGACATTGCTGTAAATTGAAATAAGTAGAAAAGGGAAAACATTAGATCCAAAACTACAAATGGTCCCTTAGTTTCACAAACTCCATCTAGCACAAACATGAGATGTATTACAACTAGACAATGACTGCACAATACAGATACCATAAAAACTTCAAGTCCCAGAATGCACTGGTACAGGAAGTTCAGTCACAAGCCCCTCCCCATGAGTTTTTTCTTCTTTTACCTTAAAAAAGGACAAACTTAGAGCTGAACTTATACCCCAGTCTGACGATGCTGAAGCTACAAAAATAATGTCTGAACATCTGAATAAATGAGCTTGGAACTGATGAGGAAAAAGTAGCAGGAGTTATAAAATCTGACTGAAAGTTGCAGGTTTCCTGAGCTCCTGTTCCTCAGACAAGCAGCTACACTGGTCCCCGAGTTCACTAGAACAGAAACACATCTGCAACCTTTTCTGTGATGAAAATGATAAAAACATCACAAACGAGTCTCACAGATTCTCCTTGATTCAGTCTAGAGAACTTACACAACGTCTCCGATCCAAGATTCAGATGAACCTGAGCTACATCAGGTTTGAGTTTGTTTAAATTTGGGATTTTTTCCACCAAAGAGGTTAACAATTGTTTTATATAGAATTCAGAAAGTCTGCTTTGATTTGACCACAAAAGAGGTTTAATAAGCCAAAAATGGGTAAAGTATTGCCGATCTAGCATGTGTTGCACATGAGAGCATTACTCCTGAGTATGGTGGGCTCCTGACACTCACTTAAACCCTTTTCAGAATGACATTCTGGAATATGTGTGGACAATTCAGTCCGGTTTTTAACCAGAACTGTGTTTTCAGACACACCACTTTTGTACCGGAACTTGTCCTTTCGGCTGCCTTCACACAGCAGGGAAAAGTTCCAGATCTCGGGGGGGGGGGGGGGGGGCGCTTATGTTAAGCATAATTCTGCGCACACGAAGATGCATAAGAGACCTGGATGATGAAGCTCAATGGTTAAAGGAATCACGGAAGCGGTGTAAAGCACTCCGTCGCGCGTCTAGACGGTACCGTAGGAGGCGAGCTGCCATGGTTCGCCGCATTCTACAGGAGCGAGCTATCTAGGTGCGCACAGCGTCCCCCGGTCCCCTCCTCCTCCCCCTCCTCCCTGTCCGGAACTCGACCTCACCAGTCTGAAGCAGCCACCTTGACCGTGACAAGTCCGGACCTGTTACTAGGGGCATTGTCCGGTTTAATGACGGAAAACGTTATCCAGATGTTTGTATTCAGACACAAAGATCTTCCGGACAGAGTCCGGAACATTTCCGTTTTTCATGGCCTGTCTGAAGAGGGCTTTCGAGTGATGTCACTGGAAGGTATGCTGCTACCTCTGGAAAAATAAAAGGACCCAAAGAGGAATATTTAAAGCCATAACTTACATATAGATGTTCCAAGTTTGGTTGATTTCTTTTTTTTTAGTAGTTGAAATGACATTTTTTACATTTGATCTTGAAATTTTTTACATTTGATCTCATCTTACCATATCATACCATACAACTTCATTTATAAAGCACATTTAAAAACGGCATGGCAGCCGACCAAAGTGCTGTACAGATTAAAACTAAAACACAATCAATAATAAAATCTTAAAAAGATCATTATAACCAGTAAATTGAGGATGTTCTGACATCCAACACATCATAAGAAAATGTTCAACTTTTTGTCTAAGTTATTTTGTCATAAGATATCTAAAAACACAACTTTTTTTTATATTGACATCACTCTGCCTCCATCTTGGACCAAGATTTCCCTTGTGAGTTTGACACCTCTGATCTAGAGGGTATAAGGTTGTTGGAAACTTGCTTAAAAGATGCAAGAAATACAAAATCATGTAACCCAAATTTAAAGCAATTATTTCAGTTTTCTGAGTTTAGTCAGTCAGATCAATTTATGTGCTAGAGTTTACCACATCATATCCAGTGGGAGCCCTGTTCCTAGAGGCGACAACTCCAACACCAGTGATCGGGTCCATAGACATCTCAGGCAAAGCTTCAGAAAGATCCCGAACCTCAGGCATGTTTGCAGAACTCTGCAACAGAATTCACCACAACATCACTATCAGGAGAAGTGGAATAAAAGGGACACCCAAAATCTGCTGATATTAAAAGTTTGGGAAAGTTTTACATACAACTATTTTATGTTTCAGTATTTTTCTCCAGAGATGAACCATGACTTCCTGATGGTGTCATCTCAATATGTAAATAGGGTGTATTTCAGGATGTTTTCCGTCAAAACTTAATGATTTAACATGATTATCTAAATATCATTGCAAAAGATGCAGTCTGCTTGACCAGCTTGAACAAAGACAAACCAAACACAATCAAATTCTGGGTAAATAACCAACAAAATCTTAATAACTGACAAACAGATTCTACTAAACTACCCACCGAAAGCATATTTTCGCGGAATAACAGTAGATGTTGTAAAGGGTAATTGTACAAGGAGGATGTTTCTGAACCAGTTATTAATCGGTGGGATTAATGTTACCAATTTGCATATTTTCTGCACATCTGTTCTGTCCAGATGTTTAGCAGCGGAACCTTTACAGCTGTTGGACCCAAAGGGAAAACTCTGAATGTGTTCATGAAGGGTTCTCCGTAAATTAAGGACACCTTTTCACTGAGCTCAGGTAAACACGGTACTATTAGGTCAGTTATTTCTTCATTAAAATGCTGTTTATTAAACTCTAACTGCTTTTTAGTCTGATGATGTTTTGCTAACTAGAGCAAGCAGTTGAAATAACAGCAGCGACATCATGGCTAACAAACCGCCAGCTAGCAAGTTGCTAACGGGGAGTGTCCTCACAGCAGCTCCGACCGACGGGCCAGCTGGTGAACGCTTCCACCTGGAGACGTACCTCTGCCTAAAAGACGCTTTAATTTTACCAAATTGGTCCACTTTACTGTATTCCACAGCCTAACATAAAGTAAGTTTACATTAGCTCGGACACGGCGAATCTGCATTCACGGCTAATGTTAGCATTAGCTCTAGAGAGCTGCTCACCAGTGGGAATTGGACCCCGGTGTTGTTTTGGTTCTTGGATTATGAGAGAAGCGCGGCTTTAGGAAATCATCATAATAAGTGAAGCAGTCAGACAAGTTAGCTGTCCTGCAACTGTTTGCATAATGAGGTCCCAGAAGGCTTGGACTGTCGGAGCGGAGGTAACGGAGAAGAACCCTGAAACACCGTTCCCTCGCCCCGCCCCTAAGCGCGTCACCAATGCACACATATTTGGTTAATAGATGGTTAATAGACTATTAATACTAACCAGACCATTCCTGAAAAAATCTAAAAAGAGACCTGCCCGCTGGTACAAGATAGGGGTCATAATTATCTCATCCCCCTGACTTAAAGCAGTCTTTGTCAGTTTGTCAGTCTGTGATGATTTGGTCTTTATATTTCCTTAAAGTTTAGGAAACCGTATTTAAATTATTTCATACTCTCTTCAGCTAAATACTTTATCCAAATATATAAAAATAATGTTGCTGTATCATGCTCTTTATGTGGGAATTATAACGTTGTTGGATTGACCAACAACAACAAGGATGAAAAGAGAAATCTTGCTGAATGAGGACAGCAAACAACCCACCTCAATATGGGGAAGACAAATGAAGACATGGCTCTATTCCATTAGGAGAAATAAAAAGTGTGGGTCTTTGTACAGCTGAGTTCATGTCCTTTTTCTGGTATGTGGTGAAGAGCAGTGTTTCCCTTACATAGTATATTGCCACGGCTAGGAAATCAGTAGAATTGAATGGACCTGGACCATATTAAGCCCACAGTGGGGAAATTATTTAAGGCAGCACATACACTTAGAGAATAGGGGGAAAAATATGCAAAGGTAGTAGGCTATTATTGTAACATTCAGCAATTTGAATAATGAATAAAAATGGAAAATTACGGTATGTTTCCAAAAAGAATCAGATGTAGGATACAAACATACAAATATGCATCTGGGTATTGCACACATATTGAAAATAGCACTGGTGTTGGGGATAATGCCAGTACCAGTTAAACTGAGGAGTTATCCACTCTGGAGTGGGAATTGACTCATAATAGCATTTTGTTTTGCGTCTTGGACATCTCAGTCTGCCACTAAGGAGATGTCCATGGTCACTTTTTTGGTATCTATATAATACACACGCGCACACACACACACACCTGAATTTAGGTTTATTTGCTTTAAAAACCTAGCCTAGTGAACTAGACCATATTATGTACACACACACACACACACACACACACACACACACACACACATATATATATATATATATATATATATATATATATATATATATATATCACTTGTAAGTCACTTTGGACAAAAGCGTCTGCTAAATACATAAACAAAAACATAAATTTACCTCATATTCTACGCTGATACTATATGATATCCTGTTTTTAGCTAAGTGTTAGCTGAGTGCACGATTATTATTTTTTTCTGTCTCTTTCATGTGATTATGTTCCCTGAACGTGTATCACTGTGTGCTCTCCATGATAGCTTCAGCTTTAATAAAGTATAAAAAAATCTAGCTGCCACAGAAATTAAAGAAGCAACTGACGGAAGAAAAAAAGAAAACCTCTTTGCAAGCCTAGTTTGTGGCAAACATCGTGGCAAATCTTGAGGCTGGTCTAAGGTCTCACAGAAAGTCTTGTGGCAGGCCAGATCTTCTTGTACAATCTTGTGGCAGGTGGTGGTAAATCTCATGGTAAGTCTAAAATCTGATGGCAAAACTAGTGGCAGGCCGAAAGTGTTGTGGGCCAAGTGTTGTGGTTATGTTGTGTTTCTGTCTAATATTAAATAAAGAAGTTTAGTTTTAAACCAAACTGATTGTCTCAAATCAGGACAGATCTCTCAAGCCTATTCAATAACACCATCTCCAGGTGTTACGACCCCGACAGGAGGTGTAAAAATGTGAAGGAGGAGGTAACATAAGAAACATGACTGTGGATTTAAAATGGGTTTAATTGTCATAAAAAGGTTCTAAAAACAAGTGAGCAAACAGATGGAGGGCATTTAAAAATAATGCCAAACAAACAAACAAAAAAAAAATTACGAAAAGGTTAACATTAACCCTTTGATGCATAATGGTCACTACAGTGGACAGGTACTCAAAATTGTCATTTATTTATTTATTTTTGCTATTAAGCACAGCTATTGAAGACTTTATTGCATTTCAGCCTCTCCATTTGGACTTCAGTAAGTCAAGCCAACATTTTTCATGTTCAGAATGCACGCTGTCCACTGAGATGGACATGTAATAAACTATGTGTAAATAAAATGTTACAAAAAATATGTAACTATGAAATTTGTTTCATTCACACCTAAAGATGAATGGAAAAAATTGTTTAAAAAATCATGGTTGAAGATTTCATAATTCATGCATCAAAGGGTTAAGACCAATAACTAGGGATGTTCCGATACAACCTTTTTCACTTCCGATGCAATACCATTATTGCAGCCTTCAGTATTGACCGATACCAATATCAATCTGATTTGATATCAGCACAAATCATACATACTTCTACCTATTTCATAGTGTGGAATGTATAAAAGGCTTGAACAGGTGATATTACCCAAACAGAAAACAAAAGCCAGCAACAGTATTAATTGTTAATTAACCTTTGGTAGCATGAATGCGAACAGCTGAGGTTAGGGACAAAAGGAAAAACACAATATTGTTCACTGACCAACTGCTAGGAAAGGCAGCTTTATTTATGTAGCACATTTCAAACACAGGGGCAATTCAATGTGCTTTACAATTAGCATGAAACGGTAATAAACAGGAGAACTCTAATTAAAAATATACACAAATAAAATCATAGTTTAGAGCTAAAAGGAAAAGACAGAATTAAGGTTGAGCAACTACATCACAGATTACAGTGGAGACGATGCAGCATAAGAAACAATTCATTCAAAGGCTGATGAGCACATGAGGGTTTTAAGTTTTGATTTAAACAACATTAGCGTTGGGGCAGATCTGAGGTCCACGGGAAGCTGATTCCATATCTGAGCAGCATAATAGGTAAAAGCATCTCCACCATGTTCGGTTCTGACCTGTGGTTCTATTAGCTGATTGTTTCCTAAGGATCTCAGAGCCCTATGGATATATAGGAATAGGAATGTGATCTGGCATGTATTTTCGCCCCATGCCATTAAGAGATTTATAAACTAGGACGAGCACTTTGAAATCTATCCTTTGGTTTACTGGTAGCCAGTGTAGAGATCCAAGGACAGGAGTGATGTGCTCCATTCTCTTAATTCTTGTTAGGACTCTAGCAGCAGCACTCTGAACAAGCTGCAGTTGCTTCACAGTTTTTTTTTTGGGAAGACCAGTTTGGAGACCATTACAGTAATCCAGCCGGTTAGAAATAAAAGCATGAATGAGTTTCTCTAAGTCTGTTCTGGACATGAGACCTCTGACTCTTGATATTTGATGAAGGTGATAAAACACTGATTTAGTTATAGCTTTAATATGTCCAGAGAAGCTCAGGTCAGAGTGAATAATAACACCATGATTTCTAACCTGGGTTTTTGTCTTTATTCCCCTGGAGTCTAGCTGAGCAATAACATCCATTCTGTCCCTCTTGTTGCCAAAGACAATAACTTCAGTCTTGTCTGTTTAGCTGAAGGAAGTTTGACTGCATCCAGTTGTTTACTTGCTCCAGACACTGACAAAGTGAGTTCAGCGGACGATAGTCATTAGGTGATAGGGCTAGGTAGATCTGGGTGTCATCAGCATAGCTATGATAGGCAATGTTGTTATTAAGTATGACCTGACTCAGGGGGAACATGTAGAAACTGAAGAGTAGCGGTCCTAGAATTGAGCCTTGGGGGACCCCACATGTCATGGTGATCAGCTTTGATTTGTGATCCCCAATAGAGACAACATAGCCCCTGTCTTTCAGATAGGATTGGGACCAGGCAAGGGCTGTACCGGATAGTCCCACCCAATTTGTGAGCCTGTCGAGGAGTATGTTGTGGTCCACTGTATCAAATGCTGCACGGAGGTTGAGCATCATTAGAACAGATGCTTTACCTGTGTCAGTGTTTAGTGTCAGTATACTACAAGTTGAGTGTCTAAAATTTCAATTTCACACACTGCAAAAATCCTCATGCAATGTTTTGTGATCCTGCTTCAAATGCACGATGAGGTTGGGCATATTAATCTTCCCCGGTTCTGTTCCACAACGGGAAACTAGTGCATGACAAGTGCTGCACAGAGCCAAACTGTCGTTTTTGGACTTTAACGAAAAATACAGCCACATGGCTGACATTGTTCCTTGCTCCTTTGCTAGCTCACACTCTTCTGATCACATGGACTTTGCATGCTGGATCTGGGCGCTGCTAGATAGAATTGCTGGAATGGAATTTAAAGAGGAACGGACTGCTAATGTTGGAGATTTTTGATGCGGTCCGATATAATCCTGTAATGTTAGATAAATAGTATGTTTGGTTAAGTAAATTGCTTTAAAATCTATTTATATTATTAACACTACTTGTGACCAATAAGTGGTGATACTCTATTTAACTAGAATATCACCTGCTTGGTCTGATTGTTTTAGTCAGAAGATTCTAGGATTCTTTTATTCATTAAGGGATCGTACACACTTTGTTGGACTCAATAAACAGTCAGGTTTATAAAATTTAAGAATTTATTTCACAAACAATTAAGACTTGACAAATTGGTTGAACTATTATACTGTGAGTGGATGGAACTAAGGATGGTGTCTGGAACTTATGTGTGAATATAATGTATTCAGAGTCTCCGTATATCAGAAATCGGAGTTCTGGATGGAAAGAATTTGGTTTGCAAATAATCTAGAAAGATGTTAATATCAGAACCGCATGCAGACGCTATCTCGCTTTGCTCTACCTCACCCGTTTGGAGACCCTTTTTGGATCCGAGATGTCCAGGAGCCGACGACCCCACTGCACCTGGTTCGTAGAGAAACCTCGATGCGACCAAATCAGTCCTCAGATGTCTCCGGGTCACAATGATAGATGAATGAAAGCAAGCGTCTTGAAAATAACTCTGAAGGAGTTTTGAGTCAGCTTTGTTCTGCAGGAAACTATCTTGTTGTTTCAGCTTCGCAGGTGCGAAAAAGGTTTAAGGTTTTGACAATGTGTCAAAATCCTTCTGGTTAAAGAGGCTTTTGCTTAGATGACCGGTCTGAAGCTTTTCTCTATAACCCTCGAACTATTAAACTGTTCGAACTGTTTTGAACTGAGGGAAAAACCAGAGCTGGCTAGTTTTAATGGATTGATGTTATGATGGACTAGCCAACCACAGGCTGACAAGTTTGAAGATATTACCAAGCATCTCAGAGACACACCCTCTGTGATGGAGACTCCGAATCTGGGCAAAAGGTTAACTTATGTGACATGCGTTAACTTAACTTACTTGTGAGTGAAAATGTTATGACCTCATCAAGTAAACATACTAAAACAATCACTGAGCACAGATTAATGAAACATGTCATTGTTTATAATTATAAATAACAAAAGTTCATTCAATGATTATTTTTAATTATAAAATCTTCTTTCTTCTTCCTGGAATAAAGGAGTTCATTTACAAGAGCTCCTCTGTGGTGGACCTTGGAGGAAAGACTGTTATTGTTTATTTTATTATTATCTCTGTCAGGGCTGCGGTCTAGCTGGTGTGAGGAAGCATGCTCTGATTAAAGGGTCTACGTGTAGTGTTGAGTATTTTTATAATTGTACCTTTTTGAGGCCTAAAAGATGCCCAATTTGTGTTATTAACACTTCATGAATCTCTGTGTTTTGGGGACTCAGGGTAAAATGTCATCCTTGTTGTCATGTGTGTTATTTCAGGTTCCATGGTTATGGAGATTAAATATTACCCCCACATTTAATTACCTAACATTTTGGTGGAGAATGCGGGCATGCAGAGCTGGTGAGCTGAAGGCTTTCCCCAGGAACAGAGGGTGGCTGGTTAGCTCCATGGAGGGGTTTCTGTGCCCAGCTCTCGCATGACGATTCATGGACATTACGAATAATCAATCTACTCTCTCTCTCTCTCTCTCTCTGTGTCGTCCTTTAAGGTAATATGGGATAAATCTAAAATTACCTATCATGTAGACTCCCAGTCTGTTATGAGGGGAAAAGATACTGTAGGATGTGTCATAGCCAGGGTAAGTTGACCTGGATGTGCATTTTACCTGTGGGATCTCAAAATCAGGCCATTCATGATGTTACAATCCAATACAGTGTTTTTGGGCCGATATCCAATGTCAATATTGGAATGGGACATCCCTACCAATTACCAACATTAAAAACACCTGGTTAAAACTTGTTAAAAGTTTTATCAGAACTGAAGGCATTTTAAAATATGAAGTTGATAAGAAGGCTGGGCTGCCACCTTACCGTGGTGGAGGGGTTTGAGTGTCTCAATGATCCTAGGAGCTAAGTTGTCTGAGGCTTTCTGCCTCTGGTAGGGTCACCCATGGCAAACAGGTCCTAGGTGAGGGATCAGACAAAGAGCAGCCCGACGAACTCTTATGATGAATTATATAAATGGAAACCGTGTTCCCTCGCCCGGACGTGGGTCACCGGGGCCCCCCTCTGCAGCCAGGCCTGGAGGTGGGGCACCTGATGGCTGGGCTTTTACCCATGGAGCCCGGCTGGGCACAGCCCGAAAAGGAAACGTGTGTCCCCCTTCCCATGGGCTCACCACTCGTGGGAGGGCCCAAAGGGGTTGAGTGCAGTGTGTGACGGGTGGTAGTCGAGGACGGGGACCTTTGCGGTCTGATCCTCGGCTACAGAAGCTGGCTCTTGGCACATGGAATGTCACTTCTCTGGTAGGGAAGGAGCCTGAGTTAGTGTGTGAGGTTGAAAGGTTCCGACTGGATATAGTTGGACTCACTTCAATGCATGGCTCTGGCTCTGGAACCAGTTTCCTTGAGAGGGGTTGGACTTTCTACCACTCTGGACTTGCTCCCACTGAGAGGTGCCGAGCAGGGGTGGGCATACTAGTTGCCCCCCATCTTGTTTTGTGGATATGGTAAAGGCGTTTGACCGTGTCCCTCCGGGGGCCCTGTGGAGGGCCCTGTGTGGGGTACTCCACGAGTATGGGGTACCAGGCCCTCTGATACGGGTTGTTAGGTCCCTGTATGACCGGTGTCAGAGCTTGGTCCGCATTGCCGGCAGTAAGTCGGGCTCATTCCCAGTAAGAGTTGGACTTCGCCAAGGCTGCCCTTGTCACAGATTCTGTTCATAACCTTTATAGACAGGATTTCTAGGCGCAGCCAAGGTGTGGAGGGCATCCGTTTTGGTGGCCTGAGGATCAGGTCTCTGCTTTTTGCAGATGATGTGGTCCTGTTGGCTTCATCAGAACGTGATCTTCAGCTTTCGCTGGAGCGGTTCGCAGCCAAGTGTGAAGCAGCTGGGATGAGAATCAGCTCCTCTAAATCTAAGACCATGGTCTTGATTCGGAAAAGGGTAGAATGCCTTCTCCGGGTCAGGGATGAGGTCCTGCCCCAAGTGGAGGATTTTAAGTATCTCAGGGTCTTGTTCACGAGTGAGGGAAAACTGGAGCGTGAGATCAATAGGTGGATTGGTGCTGGATCTGCAGTGATGCGGGCGTTGTACTGGTCTGTCATGGTGAAGACAGAGCTGAGTCAGAAGGCGAAGGTCTCGATTTACCGGTCGATCTACGTTCCTACCCTCACCTATGGTCATGAGCTTTGGGTAGTGACCGAAAGAACGAGATCATGGATACAAGCGGCTGAAATGAGTTTTCTCTGAAGAGTGGCTTTGCTCTCCCTTAGAGATAGAATGAGAAGCTCGGTCATTCTGGACAGGCTCGGAGTAGACCCGCTGCTCCTCCACATCGAGAGGAGCCAGTTGAGGTGGCTCGGGCATCTGGTCAGGATGCCTCCTGGATGCTTCCCTGGTGAGGTTTTCCGGGCACACCCAACTGGGAGGAGACCTAAAGGTAGAGCCAGGACATGGTGGAGGGACTATGTCTCTCACCTGGCCAGGGAACGCCTTGGGATTCCCCTGGAGGAGCTGGCCCAAGTGGCTAGAGAGAGGAAAGTCTGGGCCTCTCGCCTTAGGCCCCCGCGACCCGACTCCAGATAACCGGATGAAAATGGATGGATGGATGGATGGATGGATAGATGATGGATGGATGGATGGAAGTTGATAAGAGTCTAAAACTAGAGTTAACCTTTAAAAACAACAAAATCAAATATTCCAAAGATCATAACTTTGTCAACATAAGTTGATATCAAAGAGGGAATTACCCTCAGCGAGACCGGCAAACGATCAAAGATCATACTGGATCATCTCGGAGCTTTAACCTGTCTGTTAAAACTCATCAAAATGAAGGTGTAGCGTAATGGTTTATGGCTATTTTATGAAAGATGAACCATTCTACATAAGAATCTGAAATATAAATTTTAACAAAATTAATAACCAAATTCCCCGTGGTGTTCGTTCCACACTTCTTCTCTCTTTCGTTCTCTGAGGCCTGGAGGACAGCAAGACCCCTGCACTGCTGTCTCCCAGGCTACTGATGGCACAGCCTTCTTCAGTAATTTAGGCAGGCTGGATGCCTAAAAGGCTCATTGCTGCCACATCAGCCAACACACTAAGCCAGCAAACCCCACCGCACACAACATGCACATCGACCACCCCCACCCCGTGTGTTATTAATATTAATTTTTATATATTACCAGTCCTGATTTTTTCAATATATTTACTTACAACTGTACCATGTTCAGCGCTTTGGGCTTCCTGACAGGGTTGCGGAAGGCACTTTATAAATAAAGCTTTGATTGATTGATTGAACTGCATTGGTATCGGTTCCTGGTATTGGTTAACTTTCACTGATACCGGTATCGGCCTGCTGCCGGTGCATCCTTAAGGTACATGTATATACACATAGGCATCTAGTGTTGTAACCTTCGACCACTAAAACCATGAATAAAAAATTAAAAAATTTGGGTTCCAAAACTATGCAGCATTCTGCAAGAGACACAGACATGCAATGGAAATCCAGTATTGCACGAGTATTGAACACATAATGAATATTGCAGTGTTATTGTGTAACAGGATAATGCCAGTAAAACTTAAACTAATGAGTTAAAGTTTGACTTGCAGAGAGCCTCAAAGGTAGGAGAAGCCAACTCTTAAAGTTTTTGCTTGACTTTAAAAAAAGGCTTAAGTGTCAAAGCCGTGGTTGTTGTGTCAGAGTGGTTTGTGTCATCAAAAAGAGGATCTCTGAGGTTTCATTTGATGTGAGTAGTCCTGCTCGGTTTGTATTTTTTATTACAAATTTGTACTGGAAAAATAAATGAATGAATGATGAACAAATGAATAAATGAACGAATAAATACATATATGTTTTACAAAGTATTGGTGTTACACTTGGAAATTTCGGTCTTGCCATCACATAAAATAAATCCTAGATGTTTCTTTCAGGAAATTGTGAAGACATGGCTGTGTAATACATCGGCAACCCATCGACAGAAAACAAAAATAAGTTTTAAAAAGGCACGTTGATGGTGTTAAAACAAAAAGTGCATTGAAAGTAGATATTTTATTCTGAAAATCTTTACCCGGAAGTAAAAATGGATTTACCATGGGTGAGCAGTGCACTGAGCACTACAGATTAAAACGGGCTTCCAGATAGTGTTGTGATTTTACAATATTTAAAATAGTAAAGTAGTGTTTTCTTTTGAGTTTATTTTTCATGGAGAAGAAGACTTGTGTTGTGAACACTTTTCTTTCTCATCGAGGCCTTTCATGAAGCTCCTTGTTTTGACTGCAGTGAGAGCGGCTAACTACCCTGACTCTGATTCCAGGTTAGGTCCAGTGTTCTCTCAAACACCACAGCTGATTTTCGTCTTACTCATTTGAAGTGACACGGCCTGGGTGTAAATTGCAAAGATTGCTGCTACATTTAGCTGTCGACGGAAGGCTTAGCTACTTCTGAGTTTTACGCTAATGTTGAAGGTTAGAAGAGCTGGGAGGCTAACTAGCTGAGCCTGAATGTTCAGCCTGGATATTTTAAACGTTTGTACAAACGTAATGAACAAGCCTTTAACGTAAAATAAAGTCATAACAAAACTATTTACGAACTGTTTTGGGTAAAGTGAAAACTCGACACTGAAAATTGTCACCTGTCGATGTTAGCAATAGCTAAAGTTGTTCCTGGAACTGACTTTCAGATGTGACCGTTGCTAACCAAGTTTGGTCTTTTCGTTAGTGTAAGGTTAAAACAGCAGGGCCGAGCTCAAATCGTGGCGGTGGCATCCAGCCACGCAACAGCCACCATAGACATTGGCCTTGTTTGAGATGAGCAGCGCCTCGCCTGGAAAACAGATAGAAGCAGACGGACGCAGCAGCTAGAAGTTGCGTTGATATGTGTCTCCCCCCCGAGATCTGTTTCTTTGGCACTCAGCAGCGAGTTTGAATCATCCACTCGCAAAAAAATGTGTCCTAACCCTTACCCTAACCATAACCCTGAAACAAGCATAAAAATTGTGCTACACATAATATTTATAATATATATATATTTATGCAAAACATACATTTTTGGTGCCAGGGTGGTTATGGTTATGGTTAGGGTAAGGGTTAGGGTGAGGGTTATTTCTTGTGTTTGGTTTGTTTCCATTTGCAGCTGGGTGCAAAAGAAGCAGAAATCGAGGGGGGAACACATATCAACGTAACAGCGGCGTAGGTTGACAGTTTTCCCAACATTAAAATTCTGGTGCCTGTTAGCAACTGAAACACGTTCTCACATAATTATGGATATCACATTGTAGACACGTGCAAATGGAGATATGACTATAATAACAAGTAAAGTTGTCAACTGTAGATTTTTATTGTGCTTATAGGAAATGTGACAAAAGAAAACAATTGACATTTCTCTTTATGGCCTGTATAGTTGTCTTCGTCAGCATACTATGATTTGCGGAATACATATGAGTGGCTTCTGCAAATCTCGTGATTTCTGTCTGTTATGGGATGTGACTATGTTCACCCTGCTAATGGTGTTTATCTGTTCAATTTAACAACATGGTCGTTCAGTGTCAACAAAAGAAACTGATGTTTCTGACTAGATTATGAACAATATTCAGATAAGCTGAGTGTGAAACCTACTTTGTTTTTGTTGTATTCTCTGTTTATGTCCATCCATAGCAGCCCGGTGTGCCCAGTAACAAACTGTCATCTCAGTGAGACTGCAAGAATTCAGCTCAGTTTATATATTTATGAGAAATCAGAGCTTCTCATCATAACTACTACACTCTTCTTCCTGCAGCGCTGGGATTAAAGTATCTTTGAATTGATGTACCACAATGCAAACTATTCAAAACACTAATATAAACAAAATATTTTATTAATATTAATTTTTATGTATTACCAGTCCTGATTCTTAATTTTATCCTGCTTTGTGGATTAAGTTTTTCATTCTGAACAGGTAGTGGGACTTGTCTGATGGAGTTGAAGGAGAAGTAAGGAGAACAAGAGGGAAGAGATGATTCCTCTCTGCGTATCATCAGTTGCTGCTTCAACATTGCTGAATAAAAACTGAAGAGAGAGCCTCATTCAGCAGAGAGTGAAGCTGTTTGTAAAGCACTAGAAATGGCTTTCTTGGACAATCCAGCCATCATTCTAGCCCACATCAGACAGTCCCACGTGACCAGCGATGATACGGGAATGTGTGAGATGGTATTAATAGACCAGGATGTGGATCTGGAGAAGTGCCAGCTCACTCTGGTGCCTGGCAGCAGCTGTGGATCTTCTGGTTCAAACTCTCTCAGTGAAAACAGCAGTGGCATGGTGGACGGTCATACGTGCGAGCTGTCTCAGTCCATGGACATCACCTCCAGCTGGGACTTTGGCATTCGTCGGCGCTCCAACACAGGTGAGCTCGTGTCCAGGCTCTGGCGTGTTTGTAGGTGTACAGTTCCTCAGAGGTTTGGAGGGGTCTAATCTGGACTAATGTGGGTTTGGTTTGTTTTGTTTAAGGAAATCATGTTATCAAAACATGTTGCTGCTGCTACAAGAATCATGATTGTCGATGTGAATTTAATTGATTGTTTTGTGGGATGTGTGGGTGTGAGGCAGGTAGAACCGTGTTTGTGTGTGTGTTCGTGTGCCCTTTGCTTCTTTTCATTTGAGGCTCCAGAACTGAGACTTGACATATCCCCTTATAAAATGTACAACACATTAGCATTACCACTATCATCATGACGTTTCTGATTGTTCAGTATGACATCACAACCTCCCTGTGTTGGTGAAGGCAACTGGACTTACTTGCTTCTTGAAGGCGTTTTGCTTCTTACCAGAGGAGCTTTGTCAATTCTGACTGGACTATGGGAGGGTCAAGCTCATAGGCCAGTGGTACTCATTAGGCGGGCTGGGTCTGTGGTTGTAGTTATAGCCACTGTTCTATGAGCATAGCAGTTGACTTTTATGACCACAGCTACTGTGCTACGGGCAGAGCACCGCACAGCCCCGGTGAACCAGTTTGAAGTACACTAAAGACATTCATTAAACATCAAATATGAAGAAAGTTTCAAATATGAACACATTTTGTAGTCATTGTACTTATAAACTGCCAAAACAATCCTTCTCAGTTAAGTGTTAACCTATCGCAAAACCTTTAAAGTAAAGGAGTCTGTCTGGGCAGTGGGTGCTGTCACAGCAATTCATAGCTATGGCCATTGACTCTTCTCGTAGCTACAGGATAGCAGTCACAGCCATTTGTGGCTACTGGCGCGCCCTCGTGGCTGTGGCTACAATTGGAGCTCGGCCCTACTGCCTGTGTGGCCAACTGCCAAAGGACCCCAACAGACCTTTTTATTAATTTTTTTATGTTTTGAGTTTGTTTTATATTTGAAGTTCAATAAATATTAAGCAATTAATATTGCACACAGTGAGTGTTCAGTTCTTTCACAACCAATGGGCTGCTAAAATGTATGTATGTATATATTAAGATGATTACTAAGGCCAATATATATGTATGTATATTATATGTATGTATGTGTGTGTGTATATATATATATATATATATATAAATATATATATATATATATATATATATATATATATATATATATATATATATATATATATATATATATTTATATTTATATATATATATTGGCCTTAATAATCATCTTTAGATATGGGCCAATAAATCGAAAATTAATTGTTGTCGAAATTTTTTACTCTTATCGAGATAATTTTTCCCATGTCAATAAATTTGATGATAGAAAAATGAAAAGATGTGTGTAGGTCGGTAACGTTCATGTCCCTTTAAGAAACTACCACCTCGAGTCACAAAAGTGGCACCCAATGTAATACATGTGACAGCCCCATCTAGTAGACAACTTTTGTTTCTGCGCATATCTGTAGCTATCGTCCATTTGTCGTTATCGAGGTGAAATCTTCAATAAATTGTCATATGGATTTTAGGCCATATCACAGACTTGACAAAGCTCCTTGGGTCAGATGCTAAACGTCTTCAAGAAGCCAAAGAAGTTCAGTTGCCTTCGTTCAAACCCCTTTGCACAGCCTGTCTGGTTTCTCCCAGAGTGAGTTGAAATATGGATAAGAAATGACTCAATTAATGTAACAAAGGTCCTTTCCTTGAATCCAACCATGTAAGTAATATAAGTTAAGGCAAACAGGAACAGGCTCTTAAAGCTGCTTTCCGGAGTTTTCCTCTTTCAGAAATGATGTATGATTTGTCAGAAATCCATAAAAGTGATTATCTTATCATGTACTGTGATGTAATATAAACAATACGCCTTTTTTTTTTTTTTGCTAAGCATTCCCCCTGCCCGGCAGAGCTCTGTGCAATAGGACACTGAGCGCCGACCAGAACTAACCAGTAGTGTTAGACTGCCGCTTAGACGCTTCAAATTTAAGGAATACTTCGGCTGATGCAGAGTTGATGAACTTTTCACGGACAAGAAAGTCTCTAAAATATAGATATATGGAAACAAAACATGACATGAGAATAATACTCGTAAAACAACGTGTTTTAGCTCTGTTTGTCGGCTACAGAAGCACATTTATAAACAGAAACGTGAAGTCGCCATCTTAAAAAAAACAAAGGAACACCGTTTTTGTGTGGTATGCTTGTCAGCCACTAGATGCTGCCATTAGATAAGATAAATACTCCGGAAAGAAGCTTTAATTCTAAAGTTTATAACAATGAATGTATGTTATTTGTTTTAAAATGATGAAAAAATAACCTTAGACAAAGAAATACTCAACCTTTTTCATGTTATTTATCATGCAGACACTAAGTTTAGGGTCAGAATCAATCTGCTGGCATGCCTGAGTCCAGCTGATGATCCAACAGTTTGTATACCCACTGTTGGAAGCTTTGCTTCAGTTGTCTTCTGCATGACCTTACTAATCCTGACAAAACAGTCATCTATTATACCAGATTTTTAACAAACATGTCATCAAAATGTTTATTTGTGAACCAAAAAATCCCACTTTCAGAAACCTCCTTCTGAAATGGTTTCCAGCAACAGTGAGCCAGCAGCTGGTTCATGTTTTAACACTTTGGTCTACACTCAACTTGGAGACATGCAGGTTAAGTCTGGCGCTGTTGTGGAGTCGCATCAGGCCAGTGACTCTTTGCCATGGCAACCAGAAAGGTGTGTGCTCTCACCAAACCAGTGGGTCACCCCGTCAGAGAACACACACGCTGTGCTCTTGTTTTTGGTCTCAAGTTTTTGTGCAGCTGTAGAAATTGGTGACAAAGAACTCTGTGTTTGCTCCAGACAGGGAACACTTTAGTTGCTATGCTAAACTGTGCTAATTGTTTCATTCTGGTACCAACTCGGTGACTAAAAAAAGCTAAAGCCCTAAGATATCGCAGTATCATTAACATAGTGTCCTGTAGGAGGACAGGAGGAACTCAAACTAACCTGATTTGAGGTAGTCTGGTGTAAGCGTTACCAATGCCTCCACGCTTGACACTTAAGGGTTTGGATTGGGGGGTCAAACTACCAAATAGGTCCCAAGCGCAGTCATTGCTGCAACTCACCCCACCCCACGGGATGGGTCAAATGCAGAGATGTAATTTCACCAGTGTGTGATAATGACTATGGACTTTTAAAGAGCAAATTGCAGGTAAATTTTTTTCTAATTCATATAAAATGCTGTCCAAAAATCCTATTTGAAATGTTTATCGTGGATATTTAATTTTAAAATACATAACAGCAGTTTTTCTAGTAAAAAGTGACCTTTCTCAGCAAAGCTTCTAAAAAGGCTCTTTTTTCCTAAATCTGAACCTCTGACATAACCACAGGGAGTTGGAAGCTAGGCGCTGCCTCAGCTCAGTGTGGAGTGTGGCTAGTTTTAAGGTAGAGAGGTCATGTTATCGAGTCAGTGTGTGTGTGTTAACTAGTGCTGGATTGTGTTCATTTTGATAAATTATAGTTTGTGAAGCTGTACCAACGCCAGCCTGTCAGACATCGAGTCCATGGGTTTCCAGATAAGAGGAACAACGCCTCTATCTCCGTGCCTAAGGGCGTTTCTGCAGCTGAAAGACGGACTTCTGTAGCCCACATCGGTCGGTACCGGGACAGAGAGGTCCGCGCTGGGCTCCGGACACCCGTGGTGGGGTTTAAAAATGAAATGCGGATTTCTGGAGCTCAGATCACCGTCAGAACCGACCACCAGTTGGTTTCGGGGTCGGAGCCGGATCAGAATCGCCGCCTGGACAACCAGGAGAAGATTATGTACAGCTTTTAAAAATACCAACTGGACTGGCTCGCTGGTGTTTGGGTCAGATCCAGCTCACAGAAGCCCGCATGAGCTCCAGAACCGGAAGCTCTCCCTCTTTCTAAAGCACTAAACTACATTACGTGAACGGATATTAATGAGTGTGAGACAGCTGACAGATGCTCATTAGTATTAATATTATATTAACTGACCAATACAATTTTAATTGTCTGGTTCACGATAGTAATCTGTACAATATTTTAATGTTAGCACACGAGTTTAAGCTAGCATTGTTTACTCACCTGCTGCTCCCCCGCTGCTTCTCCTCCTCAATCTCTCTGCTTTGGCCGATGGTTTCTCCCTCTGGTTTGTCTCTGCTCTCTGGGGCGTGCAGCAAGCTCAGAACTTTATAGTTTTGGTCCATCAGAAGTAGAACTATAAACAATTAAAGTTTCCTCTGTGACAGAGCTGCATTAGAATCCATATTTTTCTCTGGATTAAGCTAACAGGACTCCCTCAGCTGACGTCATTTGGTTTGGCAAAAAAAAAAAAAAAAAACTCACAAAAATGACTCTACAAGCCTAAATAATTTATGTATGTGTAAAAAACCCCCGTTAAAAACGAGTTTTTATTATGTTTCTCTAAACATTGGTTCATGGGAGTCTCTAACCTGCAATTTGCTCTTTAACTTGTTTTGTCCACCTGAGCTGCTAAACCTTTTTAATGACTGGACCGTAACATCTTAGCTCAGTGCTCGCTGTACGGTCATGTTATCATTACTAACACACGCCACCTGAGAGGATGTTTTATTTGTTTTTGAGGTCTTTAGGCAAGTGTGTTTGAGAATATGAGCCTGGATCAGGAACATAGTGTGTTCAGCATCATAACAGAAACAGCAGTCAAACCTGTTGGCAATAACAGCTAATCCAGTTACTTTAGTCATTGTTTCCTTCAGCATTTAAGGGTTTTACTGTGCAGAAATGTTCTTTTTTTAATATTTGTAACTAATATTTGTCAGAATACCAAATCTGCCAGCTGATTTTGAATCTAATGAAGTCTTTTGTATTTTTTTATCATCATCAACAAATCATATTAATTAGGCATGGGCCGGCAAAAGCAAAAATACTAGTTTCATAGTTTTGACATTAAAACAAACATTTAAAATAT